CACACACACACACACACACACACACACACACACACACACACACACACACACACACACACACACACACACACACACAAGCTGTCCAAGCTACAGTAGGTCAGAATACAGAAAAAATTAAAAATTAAAAGTTCTCCAACCGACGAGCAAAAACAAGCAAACGAATCGCAAAAAAAAGTAAGGAAAGTGGTCACACGACTTATCAAAAGCGTCGCAGTACTGCCAAGAAAATACAGATTCCCTCTTCAAAGTTTTGAGTGTGTAGTGTGTGTGGATTGCTAAATTGACAGACCCAATAACAGTGACACTTGACGCTGGTTCACTCGGGACGTGTGAGGAGAAACAACGGTGCAGCAGAAGAGGACCTGCAGCCTCGATGGATGAACTGGGCGTAAACATATGAGGATGACGGGGGACACAAACAGCATCACTGTGAAACAAATGTCTTCCATTTACGGTATTTAATTTTTAACGCCCTATAATTGCAATTAAATATATGAATGAATATAATTGTTCCTGTCTGTCAATGCGTCGGTGTTTTAAATGTGAAAAGCTTCATGGATAATTATGATGATCCAGACAGGAGGGGGAAAAAAAAAAAAAAAAAAAAAACTTGAGAAAAGCTCTTGTCTCTGTTCAGGAGAGGTCATGGGAGCTCCAGATCCTGCTGAATCAAGTCGTTTCTACTGCTGATTTCCATTAAACTTAAAACGCAGTGTTTAGCGCTGGCTGTCGGTAGAAGGGGAGCGAGAGCGGGAGCGGGAACGAGAGCGGGAACGAGAGCGGGACACGGGGGCTCTCTGGGCGGGCGGAGAGGAGGGCGGGGTGGCGGACTTGCTCGTCTTGGACGACCGTTTGGCGGCCTCCTTCGATTTGGAGGACGGGGAGGAGGCGGCGCCGACGGGGGACCCGCTGGGGGAGCGGGAGCGGGAGCGGGAGCGGTTGTGGGCCTTGTGGGCGGGGCTGCGGGAACGCCTGGGGGAGCGAGATGGAGAGCGACCGCGAGAGCGGGACCGCGAGCGAGAGGAACTCTCAGACCGGGAACGACTTCTCGACCTGGGAAATAACGAGAGAAAAGAACAACATTAAAATAATTATATATTTACATAACACACAGCACTACTGGATATCTTTTGCCACGTGTTTGTACAATTAATTGATACAGCATCAATGTGTAGTGATGTATAAAATCTATTTATTGTAATAAACCATGTTTGAGCCATGTTCTTCACACATTAGCGGGTTCTCATTGTGAGTCAGAAGGACAAATGAGTGGAGGCCATCGTCTGTGTGTCACGGTGGAAAGAGAAAGCAGCTCACCTCTTCCTGGCTGCCTCAATGAGCTTGATTTTCCTGCCATTGATTTCCTTTCCAGACAGTTTGTCCATGGCGTTTTTCAGATCGCTGCCAGAAGCAAACTCAACGACTCTGTAGAAACAACATGAGACCGTATTAAGTACAATCGTAGATAAGCTTGATATGGTGCACGAGACTCATGCTGTGATATTCACGAGGGGCTCGACGCCAACAGAGACGGTCTTACCCTTCGTTGAGCTTGGGCCGGTGTGCGTCTGCAAATGTCACCTCTCCAGCTTGTCTCATGAAATCTTTCAGATCCTACACATGTAAACATCAGTCAACTCACGGAGAGGCTCGGGACACAAGCACAGTCAGAGACACATAACAGGACTGATTTACCCAAAAAAAGAGATGGTTAGATTTTCTGAGAGGACTACACAGGCTACTGCAGATAAGGAGGATGAGTCCAAGAACCTCAGTGGCCGATTAATCATTCAATAATGTGTTTCATAAAAGAAAATACAACAGATTAGTAAAGGTGTAATGTTTGCCAATTTAGATATCAATCAATTTTCACAAGCGCTATTATCAGTGTACAGGTTAAAGTATTTGCAAATGCTTTGAGATTCTTGGACTCACCACAACTACAGAGACATGAACACCATCTGCATGAACTGAACTGCAGTGGCGCCACTTGGGCAGCCTTTGGCACCAAGAGCCCCATTTTCCCTGGCAAGGAGGGCACAGGGCTCCATGCCGGGACCGCCCCGTCTCGGGCACCCTGCCTCGGTAAAGAGAGTGAACAGGGTGGAAGAGAGGAAACTACTACCTGAGAGCGAAACCCCTTGGGGTGGGCCGCACGGCTCTCCGAGCCCACCATAACCAGATTATATCCATGGGCACCTGGGAGGAATTCACACTCTCTCTCTCTCGCGATGTGCGGGGGAAGGGAGGGGGGGATATCGATCGACCGAAGCCCCTCAAATTAACGAACCATCGGTCAATACGGCACCACCATCGACTCTCGCTCTTTCCTCTCCTTTCTCTCTGCCAACTCTCAGTTTCCTCTCTCTCGCTCTCAGCCACACACCAGTCATCCCCCTGCCTTCAACAGGGGGCGTTGCGAGCGAGCGAAGGGGCCGACCAGCACCTCTAGTGTGGAGCGATCGCTCACATGACCAGCAGGCGCCAACTAGGAGTAGGACAGACTGGCTGACGCCAGAGGCTCAACCCAGACAGAAGGACCCAGAAGGGGTTAACGCCACCATAAGCGACCTCTTCCATATGACACAACAGTCAGGCTGGCAAATAAAGGGGTGAAGAATTGGTTAAAATTTTGAAAAAAAAAAAAGGAACAAATTAAGTGTGTTCTTGTTGTTACTGCTATTTGAATCATTACATAGCTGCATGAGATGCAGATTTAATAGAGGACATTTCTAAACAATTTAGGCCTCATCACAATATAATAGTTTGATTAAACATATTAGCAAGTTAAGCAAATTATCAATTGGATTCCAGAGATTCTATGGTTTTTAGCAGCATTGGAATCTACAATTGCATGTGTGTATTGTTGGAGGCAATAACATGTGTGGTGCTGCAGCTTGTAGAGACTTGTATGATAATGTTGCATTACTAACCTGCCAGCTGACTCGAGAGGACAAGTTCTCTACGATCAGGCGGTTCTCAGTGCGCATCGGCGGAGGGTTTCGGCTGAAAATGTGAAAAAGACTCAAATCAATTGATCGACGACATTGTGGGGCTGAGATACAGACAGAGGAACAGAGCGTAGCGGCTTCCATTAGCTACTTGACAAATATTTAAAAAAAAAAAAAACAACTTTGTTTAGTTAGCTGTACTTGCACATGTTCCTTCCTCATTTGAATGACATCCAGTGAAACGTATCTGCCTGCCATCATAACGCAGGTGACCTGTTGTTACCATAACTATGGGTGGTGCGACTACTTTACCTCCGACTGTTCTGGGAGCCGCGGCCATAGCGATCAGAGAAGCGGCCTCCTGCACTGCCGCCGCCGCCACCGCCGCCGCCACCACCACCTCCTCTACCACGGCCGCCACGCAGACGTACGCGGGCGTGCTCAATGGTCACCCTGAAATAACAGGAAAGGGTTAAAAATATATATAAAATACCGTGGAAAACAGGCAACAACGAGAGGAGAAAGAAAATTCATACAAATTCAGTTTTTTCACATTTCTATTGTCATTTATCACAAATTCCTACCTTTCATTGCACAGCTCTTTGCCATCAAGCTCATAAACAGCGTCTTCAGCATCTCTGGGGTCGTCAAACTCCTACAACAAACAGAATACACCATTTACAACAAGTTGTGCTTTTTCAATGTATGAGGAGAACACTGCCAAACTATTTTAAACATGGCCGCACGCACAGCCTTTCTCACTTAATTCCTTACAGCTGTGGGTCGTTCCTGTGTGCATCATCTTGTGGCACAATAGCACCCATATCAAGGGTTATGGAAATATTGGAAGAAAATTGACACCAACAGGGCGCATTTGGGCTCCATTTGCTGTCCAAAATCCTGTTTTCATTTCGTCATTACAGTTTATTAAATGTAGATTGAGGCTGAAAAGTAAATTTGACCTAGTCCACAAATGAGTACAAAAGGACACGTGAATACTTTAGAACAGGGGTGTCAAACTCATTTTCACTCCGGGCCACATCAGCATCATGGTTTCCCTCAAAGGGCCGGTTGTAACTGTAAGACTGTATAACTGTAACTACTCCTAACATATTGTTAAATAACCGTCTCTGCTTTTGATTATTGTTTATTCAAGCGTAAAAATATTATACACGCAGTTATATAAATGTAAAATGATATTTAAGCATATTTCTGTTATTATAACATAAATCATTTTAATTTAGGGTTAAGAAACCCACATTACTCTATCAAAGATCAAACTATTAAAGAAAACAACAAAGACAAATATCATCAAGCACAAGTTATGACATTAACTTTGTTCAAAGCTATTTTTGTCACCTCTCTGCATCACTAATGTCCCTCCCTGCCGTTGTCCCGTGCATGGCAGCTACATCCAAGAGCTCCTCACTGAGAGTCAAGTCTGCCTTGAGCCTCTTACAAACATTGACAGATGATGTATCAATCACTTGTTGGAAAACCGCTTTACGGGCTGTTCCCTCTCCTGTCCACCTGTTGTGATAGTTTTAATGTCGGTACACAGACAACATGCTATCTCATAATTTCAACTTTCTATCTCATAATTTCGACCATGGGGATATTTTTATTTTCAAGTCTAACTTAATTTTTTTTTTCCAAAATTAAAAAAAACAAAAACTTTTTTTTTTTTGCTGGTGGATTCGCGGGCCACATAAAATGACGTGGCGGGCCTGATTCGGCCCGCGGGCCTTGAGTTTGACACGTGAATACTTTAGAATATCACGTGACTGAGACACAGGTTTAGTCTCTAGCTAATGTAGTGTGGGTGCGTCATCCGGCTGAATGTGGAGAAAAATGAAGGCGGTAAATTACCCAATGCGGCTAAACGCACAAATAATTGGAGCTGGGCTGGGATAAAATAAATAAATATAATTTACGTTTTTTGAATGTATAGCTGGCGGACATTGAAGTGGTCCCGACTCATTTCCATTAAGTTTCGGTGACTCACCACAAACCCGAAGCCTCTCTTGAGGTCGATGTCTCGGATGCGGCCATATCCTTTGAAGAATCTCTCCACATCCTTCTCTCTGGCCGAAGGACTCAATCGGCCGATGAAAATGCGACATCCGCTCATTGTTGATGTCGTTGGTGACGCAATCTGCAAACAGACAAGTTACCGTAAATACATTGTTCTCAACGGGTGTAACGTTAGCTAACACGGAGCAGGATAAATGACGTAGTTAAACATGCAGCCGTTTAACGGCTACGTTACTTGACCTGTGTTGTCTCTGTTAGCAAGCTAACTGTGGGGCCTCGCGACCAGACGGTGACGCGGCTGCTTTTAGCTAACGGCACGCACACACACAACAGATCACGTTAGTTTTAACAAAACGATAATTGCATGTTACGCTGCATTTTAAAATGTATACACATACGATTGAAGTGGTGTTTTCCTCGCAGGCTGTCGACAGTGACCGCAGAAATCAAACAAAATGGAGCCTCTGCTGTTCAGGGAGGGGGCACGTAAACGCAGGTCCTTCTTCTTCTTCTGCTCCTTCTTCTCCTTCGTCTTCTTTTTTTCTGCTTCTTCTCTGAAAGATTACCGCCACCTTCTGGAGTTAGTTAACGTTAACTCCTACAGTGCAGGGTACCCTTTTGTTTGTTATTGCTGTTTCGTGAAACAAGGTGTTACAATTGTGATCCCCCCCCAATATGATCAAGTGAAATGGTGAATTCTGAAAAACAATTAACATAAATTAACTTCTTTTTTTTTCCCCGCAGCATATTTTCAACATTATTTTTCAAATAGCTTCAAATAACAAAGAAGCTAATGTTTTCTCATCCAGAGAAATATCAAAGGGACATTATTTTCCAACATTAAAATGAAGCCTTCCTTTTTATGTCATACATTTGAAATGTAGTAACTAAATGTAAACAACAATGATCATAAAGTAATACAATAACAGTTATTGTAATATTCATGTAACTCTGTCAATGTTTTTACCTTGTGTCAAACTCAAAGACATAGTTCACATAGAAAAGAACAATAAAGGTAGTTAAGTCAACTGCAAAGGACCCCTTACACCTCGCTCGCCATATTGATCACATTCTCCATAACATATAAGGACTCCATATATTTACCTTTATAATAGAGTAAGTCATCTTTCAACAGAGAGCTTTGAACAATTATTGAATGTGTTTCTTCTTCCAAGTGAGTGACATAACTCTTTCTGAAAACAGTAAACAAAGATGGTCCATCAGACTTTGGGTTAAATGTTAAATGCAGCCTATGCGCAATATATTCCCGAACACGAAAAATGCCTTAGTATGGAGAGAGTCACTCATCTCCCATACTAGTTTCCATTAGTGCCGTTTCTAATTGTGACCAGTAGGTGTCACTCAGACCCAATGTTATTGTACAGAGAGGAGGAAGGGATCACATAATGTACAGCAGCTATAGATGAAAAGGACCCGGAGTCACAAACAGTATAACAGCAGGACACATAAGAAACAACCACAAGTTCAGCCACTAATAACCTTCTTCTTCTTCATAGTTTAAAGCATACAGAATTTGTTATAAGAAGTCATTTAAAATGTGCTATGGCTTTAAAGCTCCACAGACATTATGCAGTCAAATCAAACGCAGCAGCATAATCCAGGAAGCAGTTATGAAAACAAAATGAAACTACGACCACAGTAGACCAAGAAAGCTTCTCTTTCGAGTAGTAACAGATTGATTTTGAATTGATGGCGCAGATGGAGTACCACCCTACTCAGGATATATATTTGGTAAACGTTTAATGAGGTACTATAATGTGACTATATACCTGAAGGCACACTAGGAATACCTTTAGAGATATTACATTGAAGTAAGCTAGTGTATTCATTCAAGCTGATACTGAACAGAAGCAGGGTTTTCATGTGCAGAGGGTTCAAATCTTCCGGGATCTAATCCAAAGGAAACCGTGGATGATAGTTACTGGAGATGTGTTACCACCTGACCTCATTTCAGTCTGAAAATGTGAACTTTACATCAGTTAAAGACACATTTTCCTAGAATGAAGCCTGACATTGGCTTAAATAATGACACCTCGTCTTCCACATTCAAAAGAAAGCTTTAATTAGAAAGTTATATACACACACTGTAAAATTAAATTAAACTTTATACAAATATTAAATTACTATCTTCACACCCACTGCCATGTACAGAGGAAAAAAAATCAAAGCTGAAAGTATTTGAAACTAAGAATCAAGATGTGTACTTTTATAACCTGTCATTTTTCAGGGACGCAACACCGTACAACAGTGCTTCTGAATGCAAAGGTAATTTCTGTTTTTTTTCTTCTTTTTCAATCCCATAATATTGTAATGCCTTGTAGCAAAGTAGAAGCAAAAGAATAGTGAAATATAGGTGCTTATAGGTTCATCGTCATCATCATCACAGTCGCTGTAAAAGCTCGGGGAGGACAGAAGAAGAATGGACATTCTCTCAGTCGTGTCCACAACAAAAGTAAACTGATAAATACACAGACAGTTGTATGCATAGAATAGAAAAGAACAGAGTAAGGCCATTTGGGAAAACAGAAAACGTTGCAATATTGTAAAGCAACCAACGAGGAGGCTTAAGATTATACAAAAAAAAAAAAAATGTACAAGTCTAAGGCAACATTCTGTTTGCATTAATAATGTAGCCGTTGACAGTGACAGACAGCCGCAAACGCCAAACTAAAATCAGAAGAGCCGATTCTGTTTTTTTTTTTCGGAAGCTTGAAAAGCAATTCTCAGGATCCTCCGGAGCCATGCTGTTTCCAGGGTTACCAGCTCAACTGCCGAATTGTTTCAACTGGAGATGAAAACAGAGGATGATTTCAGACAACACACCGTGATTCTCTCTGAAAATGTTTGCACTTGGCATGAGGAGGGTGAGTGAGTGCAGGGGGGGTGCGGGGGTGCTATATAAGCAAACTTTAGCATTACACTGCAACCAGTTGCAGTTGTGTCCGTGACGCACTAAAGTGGAGAGTCTTCAGGTTCAGACGAGAGCCAGTTCCTCTGGAGGGGATTTGTGTTTTCCAGCCATTCAGCAGAAAATGATAAATATTCTAGCTGGAGACTAGATGAATAATACACACATTGTGTCGTGGACTCGTTGCCTGAAGTGACGCTGGTTTGTTCATGTGACTTATTCAATGCTGGGAGGGACGTTTTCCTTTGGTGAAAGACGGGGGACATTGTGAAGCCAGTCTCTGATCTGAAGAGCGGCAAGTCAGGAAATGGCTCCATCGAGGCCGACCATATGAGGACATGTGCTCTCCTGTCTGGCTGACTGGCTGACGCGCGCGC